CTGCTATATTAAGGATCAAAAGGCATTTTTATATAAAGTGATATTGTTCTTGTTGCAAGATATGTACTGCTTAATCAAGGATCAAGAATGTTCTTAAATAAAAATAGTATTGTTTTTATGAGAAATAGAGCAGTAAAGGACACCAGCACAATCCGATATCATTCCCTTTATTTGTGCTAAAGCAATAAAAATATTTCTGTTATTGATTTTTCTATATCAAGATAAATGTCAAAACAATGAAAAGGCAAGGTATATCTAATTATGACTATAAAAGAGATTTTAACCTTGTGTTTTCCACAGAAGTATTATGTAACAATGATATATATGAAAAATAATTGTTGTAATGTCAGTCCCTTGCTCAAAAGATTCCCATTGCCTATTGTCACTATCCAGGTTACTTAGACAGGTAGCACTTACATCTTTAATCCTAGTGCCCTTGAGCCTAGTATTGCACCATGAATCAATCTTAATATCGCATACTCTAGATTCAACCACCTCTGAAAAAGCCCACCTCTGACTGCATCAGTCATTTGTGGAATATCTATAGATAAATCATAATATTCTACTCCTGATTCCCCTGAAGACTCTTGCTTATCCCTTCATGCATCTCTAAGAGTTGCCAACATCTTAACAGTTTTAGCATTGCTAAGAAGTTCAAGTCAAAAATCTCCTCCGAAATTTAAGGCAAACTCTTTTCTGTGAGCTCCTATACAAATGAAAAGAAAGTTAAACACTTCCAACACCCAATGACACAAGATACAGGTTTCTATTTCAAAAGTTACAAGCAGAAGAATAAAAAGTAATGAGATTAAAGCAAGCCCAAAATCTAGCAGGGCAAACATTAAGTCCTATAATTCCATGTGCAACATTTGAGGTAATTTTTGGCAAGATGTGATCTCCAAAGGGTCTCTACCTCTGTGGCACTGCTGGTGGTTGTGGCGCCCATGGATTCTTCCTTGGACCCACCCTGTGAGCTCTTTATAGTTTTCCTCCAATGTTATTGGCTTCTCCAAACCTCTGAGGTCTCCCCTGTACTTTTGGCTTCACACTCCCAGCTTTAAACACTGTCCTCTTAGAAGCACACTAGCCTTTCAACCATCCTCTAAAATCTGGGTGGAAGCTTTCCTGACACACAAGTCTTATATTGTTCATACATTTAAAACCAGTACCACATGAATGATGCCAAGGTCTGCTGTCAGCTGGAGCAGTAGCCAGGCTTCCCTCTCACTTGGCTATAGTGCCTGGATCACTGAACACTCTGAATCTCCTTCTGAGGAGCAAATTGTCTAATGTGCTGCTATTCTGGAACATGGTGTTTTGAGACTTCCTTGTTAAAGCAAAGTCTCTCCCTTTTGCAGTTTTGAGGCTTCCAATGGGGAAGTCCTGGTGCTTCTAGAGATGCCTTCATCTTCTCTATTCTCATGTTCCTTCTCAGCAATCAATATCTCCTCTGCTCTGTCTTTGCAATAAACAACTTTACTGGAGTTTCCTTTCCCACAACATTTTAAATCATTCTACTTGGCTCTTTGTGCTTGATTCTCAACATAAATCTGGCTAAAGGCCCCAACAGTGGCCATGCCACTGCCCTAGTATTAGACTTCCTTGACATTTCTTCTGCAAGATTAACTAGTTAATCACCCTTAAACTGAGTCTCAGGTAAAATCTCTGAACATGAAAAAAATGCAGGCAAACTTTCAGCCAAGGTATAGCACCTATCATCTGGAGTCCAGAAGCCAGTGCAGTTCTCCTTCCCAGCAGAAACCTCTTAAGCCTGGTCTTTACCAGCAATCTTTCTATCAATATTCTGTCTAGTCTTCTGAGCTCTGACCAGAAACTCCCATCAAGTACAGTCTAAGGCACTGAAGCCATACTTTTTCAGCTGCATTTCTGAACCCTTTTTACATGGTCAAGTATAGTCACAGCAATGACTCACTTCTTTGGTATCCAATTTTGTCTTGGCTACATTTCTCTCACTGCTGTGCCAAAATATCTGACAACCAAAATTAAAGGAGGGATGCTTTATTTAGTTCATGGTTTGTACAGGTTTCAGTCCATAATTGGCTAGCACCAAGGCAGGATGGCATGGCGAATGGAGATCACAGAGGAGGAAAAACAGTTCATATTAGGCAGAAGGTGGCAAAACAACACAGGGACTACCCTACAGCTCTTTCCTCCCTTGTATCTTACTGAAGTTACTTATGGTGGGTAGTTATTTAAGGGCACACTTTTAATGCTAGTGCCCTTGAGCCTAACACTGCACTATGAATTAATTCCACTGTCAAACACTCATATCTAGCCACCTCTGAAAAAGCCCCCTCCTTGACTGTATGAGGTTTTGGGAGACAGGGACATCTAGACACAAGCCATAACAATTTCCCACTAGGAATTTTAAAAAACCAAGCTTTTCATTCTAAAATGTACATTTTACACAACCTTATATTAATTATTCTGCTCATTTCATATGCTGTTTTATGCAAATTGACTCCATTCTAAATATAATGAATAAAACTATTACTTTTTTTACTAACAAATTAATAATTTTCAATTTCTTTCAAATGAATTTGCTGTTTCTTTTGCCCAAAGTGCTTCACCTTCCCTCACATTCTTTGAAAGCAAATAGGTCTTATCTTGCTTTCAAAGTCTAACTCAAGTGTAATAAGATACTTTGCATAGAGTTGATGCTTAATAAATACTTGTTGAAAAAATGAGTGCTGAACCATTCATTTACAGATTTCACCGTAGCTATCATGAGATTATTGCCTGAAGTTAATGTCTGAATAAATTATTTTTCTTTCTGAAGCTTATTGTAGCGTAAGGTGATTCAGCTCACTACTCTGATCTCATCAATCATTTGGTACTCTTCAATATTCCTAGACTTCTATAGAGATCTGTCAGCCAGTAGCATAAAGATATTAAAACATTTTGAATTGTGTGGAAAAAATTGATGATTTTAAAGTTTTTTGAAAAAAGTTTCTTGACCTAATACAATTAGTTAACACCCAATAAATCATTGCGAATTAAGAAATTTCCTCTGATCTTGACCATCTCATTATTTTCCTTCTGATTTCAACTTTAAATATTGCATAGATCATAATGAGGCAAAATAGTCTAATTAAAAATATCATGTCTAAATAATTTAGTGTGAATTATTATTTACCACAAAAACAAGATACATATGTTTCTATAAATTGGATCAGAGACAAATTAGAGCTTATCTCTGAGGGACTTTCAGGAAGCTAATTTGTTTTCACAGAAGAGTTTGAGAAAAATTTAGATTGTTAAAACAAAATGAAGTTTCAACTCACATTTCCTTTAATCTAAATTAGGACAAAAATCTCAGTATTTTACCTTCAGTGATTATATGAATTTTAAAAAATTTTAAGCATCTTATTTGATACCAGAGAAAAATTGGCACCCATTTTACTATTTTTAGATCACTTAGAAGAAATGTTTACCTATTTTCTTTCTAGGTAAAATGGTATTTTAATGGGCATATTAAAGGACTTGTGATTATTATCAATGAATAATTATTAATTGCAGGGTTTACTGAAATGCATTCTTATTTAAAGCAAGCTATTCTTGTGCTAAATGCAACATTATAAAATAGTACTATTGGTTTCCATATATATTCCAGACCCAAAAATCAGACAGATCTTCAGTCTGAATGACTTTATAAACTCTAACAAACAATGCTTGCTCTGTAACAAGCCATCACATAGATGTTACTACTACTATAAACTTTAGCAGCAGAGTCCCAGATAATCTAAAGAGGTCTGGTCACTGATATTTCTGCCATCGCCATCCCCAGGATATATAAGGCCATGCTGTTAGACTTGCCCAAGAGTCAATGAGAAAAGCAGATAGAGTCACAACCACTGCAACCCCTTAGATTCAGCTTTCTATGGAAGGTTCGTTCCCAGATACCGAGTGAATGAAGCTCCCTTCTCTACCCACTGCCCTGCACTGCCCTGAACTGCCCTGCAGTATGTGTTTATAGTTCTCATGGTCTTTTTTTCTAAAATGCAAGCTTGTTTTCAGGAATAATTGTTTGGCACAGGTTCCCTTGTAAACATCTTCATAGATAGGAACTTTTCTTCCTTTGATCACTTGACTTAGTTTACAAATCATAGCATAAGCCTCCTCCTTGCCACCTCCATGGGAGTTGTGCATCAAAGGACTCATTGACAGAGTGACTGTCATCCTGCCGTTAACTCCTAGCCAGTAGCTTTCAAGCATAAGTTTCCATGATTTCTAACTTGGAGGAAAGAAATACTAAAATTCTGCCCATTTAAGCTACCTCCCATCTAGATAGAAATATGATAATACAGTTTACTCAACATTGTTGACTTATTAAAAATTCATTAATTATAATCTGAATTCACTGATAGCATATGCAAGAATATTTTTCCTCCACAAACTGTACTTCAGGTGGATTTTCTTTGTAAGAAAAATAAGACATTTTTATTTAAAACATAATTTTATCCATTTGGGACTTGGAACACAGTGGCAGATGCTATAAACTAAGATAGCAATTAAATCAAGAAAGGTATCACGCAGTAGTTACACCCACACACATACACACAGAGAAATGTTATATTAGTTGAATCATTTTCTACCTAGTGTTAAGTTTTGGTTTTTATTGAAATAGCTATGACTAATTTGACAGAAGATGAGGGAAAAAAACCAAATTGGTTAAAACCAAATTTTAATTGCAGAATTAATGTAATTGCTCTTATTCCTTAAACTTCAACCTGTCAATGTGATATTTTTCATCTACATACTTCACACTACACTTTTTATAACCTGCTTCAGTTCCTGACATTATTTGACTAGTGTTCCACATTTTCAAACTGGAATCAGGTAATGCATAGTTTAATCGACAAAGGTGAGACAACATTGCTATTTTGTCACCTTGTATGACTACACGAGTATTGTTTTTCTTTTTTTTCTTTTCTTTGAACATCCTTTTCAGCTATTAATATTTATTATGTTTTGCTTAGTTGGGTACACAATGAATGATCTAATTTTTGAATGGCAAGATGAGGCACCTGTGCAAGTGGCAGAAGGACTCACTTTGCCCCAGTTTCTGTTGAAAGAAGAAAAAGATTTACGATATTGCACTAAACATTACAATACAGGTAGGGGGTTGATTATTCTTCTTTACACTTACAATTTTTGAATTTATGATACACAGAGGTTTACTAATTGTACTGCTAGTTTAACTATTTCAGCTTTATACAGCTCACTGTTTTCCGTAGAGACAGATCAGAAAATAGATGCATTTGAACCATATGGATGCATTTATTTATTGCATATTGTTATATAATTAGCTTATATGAGATCGAACAAATGCTTGGTGTCTAAGTTAGACTTGGTATTTAAGTTAGACTTAATTTTTGTGAAAAACCCATATTTACATAGAAATGATTCTCAAAATGTTATGCTTATAAAATAAAAGGAGTTGCTAGTGTATAAAGGCTTTATTTGTCAAAACTTCGTTTTTGGTCATATTTTTATGCACTTCAAGGCATTTTTAGCTAAGTACTTCCTACTCAGGCCAACACAGGAACTTTGTACCTCTCAGAGTAAATATCAGATGTAGTCACCAGCACTAAAAATTGACAGATTCATTATGACTTGTACATTTATAAAATCTACTTACTTTTCTTAACTGTATGTAGCCAAATAGTTAACCTAGCTATATATATCTGATTACTATAATTCCGCTGAACTGCCTACAATTAAAGCATCTCTCTAGTTTGATGAATGCATGGCCTTCATCAGCATCTGTCTGTTGCTCTTATCATTTCATTACAGTAAACTATGATTCATTTTGGCCTCAACATTTTCCAGAACTCTGATCAGATCTTTTACTCTATCAAGTCACTAGCCTTCCTCTTTTTTAAACAAATTCATAATATCTGTTCAAAAAGTCCTTGCCACTTTAATGCAAGTAGGTGATAGACATGAGCTTATTAGGGAGTTCAAGGTTAACCTTTTTAATACAAAGATGACAGGCAGGCAAGTCATTTGCTCAATCAGCTCTCTAAGGATAGCTATTCCGATACATTCCTTTTTAGGAAATGCAAAAGTCTCTAGAGTCTGGATAGTTTTCAAGAGCTACCTCAAAAATCCTCTTGCAAATTTGGTACCTTAAAGCAAATGAAATTTATTTCCTCATAGTTCTAGGGGTTCGAAGTCAGAAATCAAGCTGTCAGTAGAACCATACTTTCCCTGGAGACTCTAAGGAACAACCTCTCCTTGCCTTTTCTAGTTTCCTATTTCTGGCAATCCTTAGTATTACTTGGATCACAGACAAAACTCTGCCTTCCAAGTTACATGATATCCTGCTTTTATATTTGTGCCTCTGGGTCCAAATTTCCCTCTTCTTACCAGGTATCAGGCGTATTATATCAGGGCTCTCTTAATCCAGAATAACTTCATTTTAATTTTAGTACATCTACACATACCTTATTTCCAGATTAAGTCACATTCACAGTTTCCAGGTACATATAAATTTTAGGGACATACATTTAAGAGGTGAAGCACTAAGAGGTAAAGCAGTAAAGATTATCCTAGATGAACTTTTATGCAATATAATTCTAGGTTCTTCCTTAGCACAAAACAAATTTGCATATTTCACTGGAGTTATGCATCATTATTACAACTTAGGAAACAACCTACATTTACTTTAAGCAAAAAATTGAACAGGTGTTTTCTCAGATGGTATCACAGAAATTTCATAGCTTTCCTATCCAGGAGGTTAAAGTACCATAAATTGTTAAAAATTATGAGAGGATAAATATATCTGGCAAATTCCTCTATAAGGTAATTCCTATCCAATAGTAGGTAAAGATACATCTTTATATTCCTTATGCAAATGGAAAAAACAAAAACAACCCTCTAGGTTTTATGAAAAGCATACTTAGAAATACATTTTCCTAATAAAATACATTGGAGTTAAAAGTTCATCTACAAATGACTGCACAAAACCAAATGCTTTGCTTAACTTCATTTACTTGTTCATGGTCCAAAAATATATTTTAAGTTAGGCACCTACAACCTAATCTCCCCGAAATCTCTTGAAAACCTTTTACCTTTCTTCTTCTTGCTTGATAATCTATTGCTATGATGCATAGATGATGGATTTCTTTTGTAGAAATGGTCTCTGTTTTTATCTCAGAACCACACACAGAACATACATATGTATCAATGTGTACACTCACAGAAGCTATATATATGCATGTATACAGTTGTAAGAAATCTACATTGCTCACAAGCAATGGTATATACACATGTATGTAAACTTTTACTTCTAAATGATTTTTATATAAATACTTTTTAAAATACAGCAAAAATTTATTTTTCTGGAGAATTATATTATACTTAGAGAAATCATATCCAAGTGTTCAGTATAATTGCTACTAATTATATCATGAGATTATTTAGTAGATAATTTAACAGTGATGTCTTAATATATTTCATTTATTGGTCTATTTCCTTTATTTTTAATGAAAAATTTTAAATTTTCATGTTAAATATAGCTTTAAATCTCTAAATATTTCCACATATTTCAGTAATCTTTAAGGCTGCTATATTAATTTGATAAACAGATAAGGGAATCATAGGTGGCTTGGACATATTTCTGGTTGCTAGACATCGCAAAGTGGAATCCAGTTGTCCCCAAGCTTGTGAATATCAGTTGAGACTTAAATTCTAGAATCACAGCTACCCCATCCCTGTATCACTTGTGCAGTCTTTTGGGAACAAGTCACCTCAGCAGACCCATTCCCCTGAACCATACTTAGCAAGATACTGGCACTCTTCCTGGATATGGGCCTTTACTATTGTTCTTTTATGTTTGAGTCAGAGAATGTTACATAAAGAGAAGGCTCTTAACTATCTGATTCATCTTGCTCAAAACAATTAACATGAAAAAGAATAAAGCCAAATACTAGAGGGAAAAAATTTTAAAGGAAAAGTAACAAAGTAATAGAGATAGCAGAAAAGGGATTGAAACCAGAGGATAAGCAGAATATCGATTTAATGATAAAATATTGACTTCTGTTATCATAACAGAAGTAAATAACAGATAAATAAAAGCATAAATAAAATGTGTAAATGGATATAGTAGTGTGTTTTAAATTTATTCTCAAAGTTACTAAAACACACATCTTGTTTCATTGTCATTTAAGGAACCATTTGTCTTTGCTTGTATTCATCTATTAACATTTATTTTAAAATAAATGCAAACATCTCTGAATCAACAACTTCTAGTTCTAAATAAGTATTAAGAAGCCACAGAAACAGGCAATCTGTAAAAATAATTGATATGGTAAATGTATATTTCATTGCTTATCTCAGAAACAATCACTACCATCAAATGAAAATATAGTCTCAGTAATTTCACATTTAAACACTGTTCAGTGGTGAAGTAGAAGGATTATATAGTACTTCCTAAAAGATGTCACTCTCTTTGCAAAGCTTCTAGATACTAATAGAAAGTCAGAAATAAAATTTGATTATGTCATTTGGATTTCTTCAAAATAGTGGAAATTTTTAGGACAGAATCATTATGAAAATTAAATTATGATATTTGATGCCATATGGAAAATATTTTTTTACTAATCAATGTGTTTATTTTATGACTAACTAGGAAAGTTTACTTGTATAGAAGTACGATTCCATCTGGAACGGCAAATGGGATACTATCTCATCCAGATGTACATCCCCAGTCTCTTGATTGTAATTCTATCCTGGGTTTCATTCTGGATCAACATGGATGCAGCTCCAGCCAGGGTTGCTTTGGGAATAACGACTGTGCTGACCATGACCACACAGAGTTCAGGGTCACGAGCTTCCTTACCAAAGGTAAGTTCACTAAAAAGAAATGCACATATTTACACATATCCTTATAGAAATATCATAGTCAGATCTTTTCAATAGCATTTATATATCATTAGTGATTTTAAAAACAATATATTACCAAGCACAAAACATGGAAAACATAAAAAGAGAAGGAACATATTTCACAAACCAATGATATCTGCTCACCATACTTTGTGGGATGTTCCCCAAGTATTTAATCATTAGTAACAGTCTTGATGGGCTTAATGTCACATATCTGTAATCTCAGCACTTTGGAAACTGAGGCAGGAGGATTATTACTAGTTTGAGGCGGCCTGGGTGAGTTTAATACCATTCTCTACAGCACAGCAGGATCCTGTCCCAAAAAATTTTTAAAAATACTTTGTACCTTTGTACCTACAAGTTTATATAGACACTGAACTATATATTAAAATAATACATAGAAATATATAGGTAGATATTATAGAATATAGGAATATATTTATAGATGATATAAAGATTTTAATGTAGAAATATACTAAATATTTATTTAAGTGTAATTTACATGGCTTTTTAAAAGTTGACATAGTACCCCATTGTATAGATGTGTTATGATTTCCTCCCTTTTCCAACTATATATATATATATATATATATATATATACACATACATATATACATATATACATACATAGATAGATGTATAAACACACATGTATACACATATAGCTTTACACACACATTTCACAGTATTTTTTACTACTTATATTTAGAACTGGAATTTTGGCTCTAGTATCTGCAAGTATTGATAGGAGTGGGCAAATTTACCTCCAGCAAAATATGGCAATTGCTGTCCTAGAAACATTTGTATGAGAGCCTGAGTGCTGTTTCTGACCAAATATAGTATTAATCATTTTTAGAAAAATTTTTCTCCTTTTTTTTAGGGGGGGTAACCATATATCAATTGAAAGGAAAGTCTATCTGATTCCATAAATTTAGTCCTTGCTGAGACTCTAGAATTAAAATCAAACTAATTGTGCCCCCTGTAATGTTTTTAAAAATCCTATTATTTCCTTTTATAAGATACACCGAGTTAAAGAAGCTTTTCTCATGCATTTAGCCTCAGAAAAAAGAAATTATTTTCTTCTTATAACTTCTAAAAATTCATTTTATCTAATTTAAATAACTTAGTAAATCTTCAAACAAATATCACTGCTATTTTCATTTAAATGATATATTTCCATGCAGTAAAATTATGTTAAATTTTCTTGTGCATTTTATGCTATATACTTTCTATTCCACCTAAATTATAAATGTACAATCATGGTTCCATGAATTCTTTCCATGAATTGTATTATATGATTATTTTTTTATATTAAAATGCCTAAATAAGGGCCTGGGGATTTAGCTCAGCGGCATAAGTGCCTGCCTTGCAAGCAGGCCAGTCATGAGTTCGATCCCCGGTACTGATAAAAAGGAAAAAGACAAAATAAATAAATAAATAATGCCTAAATAAATAAAAGATAGTCTCAGGATACTTTATCACTAAAAGGTCACATTGTATGGGAAGAACATGATATTATGCAATATCCACTTTCCTCACTAAGATTTAATGATTGTCTTTCAACATATATATTTTTATTAATAGTCGCATTTTCAAAGTACTCTGTAACAATTCTTACTTTATAAAATATTTTCAATGTGAAAAATATATTTATGAGATTATAAGATTAAGCTTTCAGTGTTAACTTATATATGTATAAGTATCTCAAGGACTTACATGATATGAGAAATTCCATAGTCAATTTGTAAAGGAAATTTGCTCACTTATCTTCCTCATGAATTAAACTAAAATAAAACTCACTTGCTCTGTAAATTGTCAACCAGAAAGAAAAGAGTAAATTACATACTTTAAGAACTTCTATGAAGCACAGCAGAAGGCATTTATACATGGAAACTACTATTATGTCAAAGAGAAAGGAAATTTTGTTAGAAAAAGCAGAAACAAAGACAGCAATAAACTTAAAAGACAGAATGAGGACACACATTTCAAAAAAGGAAAGAAAAGTTTGGGATAAATTCATACTTTTCTCAAGAAATACTAAAAAATTGTTAAGGTGTTTATTTTATTGGGATTTCATAGAAGAAAGAAACTTTATTTATTTATTTATTTATTTATATTGTTTTTGGTATCAAGAATTGAACTCAGCACCTCATGCTTGCCAAGCAGGTGCTGTGCTGCTGAGCTATATCCCCAGACCAGGAATAAACTTTAAATCATGAACTGAAGTATATACATGGATGTATAAATGCAAAATCTATTTCTATTCATAGAAACAGCAGCCACTCAAGCACAATGGGAATAGTTTAACTCTCACATGAAAAGACCTGATTGGCAAAGTGATAATAGAAGCTGACCATGTACTCTTCAACTATCTTATAGTTAAGTAATGATTAAAAAAATACTCTAACAATATATTGTAGTCAGCTTCTTAAGAATTACAAAGCTGAAATTTCTCCGATATCTTGTAGTGCATTGGCCTCTGTGATGTCATCATGAATCAAGCCTGTCAGCCCAAAGCAGACTCATATGACTCATTTCATGAAACTTGGAATTACTTTACATTTCTGCAGAGCCTGCATCATGTGGTCTGAAGAGGGGGTCGTATACACCCTATTATCAATACTGTTTCAAGATTATATAACTTTCTGAAGATTTTCTTATATTGGATGCCTGGCAGTGATTCTGGAATCACCTTATAAAATACTTTATATGGAATAATTTACAGCCTTTGCTAATGGTTAGGTTTATTTTGGCTGCAGTATTAACCAGCAAAATATTTTTAAAAGGAATAAATACTCTGCTTTCTGTATGAAGATCAGAAAGAAAGAGCAGAACCAAAAGGAGAGAGGTTACCAGGACAGTTAGTATAGTGCACAGTAGACGATGCTCTGGCTAGATTGGTAGCAGCCAAAATACAGTGCCACAGGAGGATTTGAAGAGATGTAGATATTTTGGAGAAAACTTAGTTGGAGGTAAAACAGACAAGATTTGCTTGTGCATTGCATACTGAGGATTCAGAGATGTCAGGAGTCCAGCATGATATGAGGAACAGTAACTAGGCAAGAAAGTAGCAGTGACAATTATCACCTGGGAAAGCTGGAAAAAGATTATCTAGGCTTCTATTTTTGAACATGTGACACAATCATGTAAACGTGCAAGAATCTAAGCACCTTTAAACTTCTGAGTAAGGACACTCAAAGGCCAGACTTTATGAATACACTGTAAATGGTCATGAAGCAGATCAGAGGTGATTTTTTCTAAAAATGAAAAGAAATTCCAGAAATAGGAGAAAAGAGTGCATTTGGGTCAGCCCTTCTCCTCAACTGAAATTGACATATTTACCCAAAATTCTCCCTCTCTTCCTGTCCCAGGAACATCCTTAACAGAACAGTTAAGAGAGTTTGATTAAAGGTAACACCCACTCATCCTAAAATTTTCCCTTAAACTTTCTGAGATTTCCATATTATTTGACCATTTATTTAAATATGGAAAAATAATACTCCTTAGGATTAGGTTTTAACATGGAATGAAAATGGAGATGGTGTATTTTTATTAATTTTTAATGTAATTTGATTTATCATGATATGAGTTAAAGCCTTGGCACTAAGAGTTACAGATTTTGTTAAATATGCAGATAGATCAGGCTAGAGAAAATCAGGAGAGAAAAGCTCTAATATTTTTTGGAGGTTCTCAGTTGTCTCACTATTATCACAGTCTAATATAAGGTCCTCGGCATTAAAAGTTGTTTGATTCAGTTTCGTTGCACTTATTCTGCATAGCATATATTCCCCCCAAATATCAACCAAGTCCCTTCTTAGGTGTGCCAGGGATTGGCTGAGTTGGGGTGCTCCTGATTCTAAACTGAGGTGTGGCTCAGTTCTGTTCTCTATGTCTTCTGTCTTTTCCTGAGAGAAAATGTACAAAAATGAGATCAGAAACATGCAAAGCCTTTGGATAGAAATGGCAGAGTCACTTCTCTACTCATACCATAAATTATACCAAATCAATTTCGCAAACAGTGTTACAGGGAGGGGTTCTCCATCCATAGGAAAGACTTGGAGAAGAGAAGCATGAAAAGCTTTCAAACAAATAATCTTATCTACTTCAGAGTTATCATTTGCAAAACCTTTCTTAATGCTTTCTTAGACCATAATGTGGCTAAGAAAAGACTCAAGAAAGCCAAAAGAGGAGGAAAAAAGACATGAAGGCAGCATGGAGAAATTGCAAAGAAATTCGTGGGCTTCTCTCACTTTACCTCTGTCCCTATGGCTGACTTACAACACAGTTACCAAACATTAAAAAATCAAGCACGTAAAGAAAAATCAAGCACTAGAAGTTTCAAAGTTGACTAAAGATTTCACAGAAACTCGGGGAGCATACAGTGTATGCAAATTGAAAATTCTACACTAAAAGCTGTTTATTGTAAACAGTTACTTAAGGTTGTACCTCAATTCCGCCCATTTCTCACATTAATTTAATCTATGATACAGATCAACAGTAGTTTTTTGAGAGGACAACTGGACTTTTCTCTATTTCCATCCACAAGCTAAATCAGAAAATAGTACATTTTGAATGAGTATCAAACAAGGATTTAAACACAATGCGTGCATTTAAAATATTTACTAATGCTAAATTCTTAATTTGAAAAGCAAGAGAGTATTTAATTTTTAAGACTTTTAAAAGCACTCTAGAATTACTCTTTTAAGAACTGTATTTTCCCAATAAAACTAAATTAATAAAAATAATTTAAAATTCCATTTATCTATCTACAATATAATGAAAATGTTGGTTAGAAAATATAATAAACATCGCTTCATCACAAAATATAGAAATGGTTACAACTACAAGAAAATAAAACAGATGTGTTGTATGTTATATTTGAATATCATTAATATGTTAGAAGCATTTATATAAGATCTAACAGATAAGATAGAGGACGTGAAGAAAAATGGAAGACATAT